AGGTTATCGGGCATACAAAATTGTTTTAAATTAATTAATTTGTTTTGCCAGTTTATTGAGGGTTATCAGTGTCAGGACATTGCTATAAAAATGGGTGCATTTAATATTAAAAATATTTATTTTATTTCTACCTTGCCCAATTTGTACTCACTTCCCTGACAAACATTTTTCCTCGACTGTGCCTGGAAAATTTTCATTAAATTTTCAATACTTTTCGGTGATTTTTGTCGGCTACCAACCGCATAATTAAATGGAATTTTGTATAATCTTCCTTTTCGTTTTCAATTTACTTTTTCCGTTTGTCTGGCAGAATGGGCGATAAGAAGTAATAATATGGCTCAAAGTTCGCCTCACAATTACGCAGTGGGCTGGGAAAGTAAAGACGGCGACTAACGCCTAGCAACCCGATTTTGGCCACAAACTTGACTGTCAACCCGATAATCGCGTGGGAGTTTCCTAAAGATATATGTATATTTATTAGTATTTGGAAATGAGCGGTGATAATGGGTGATAATGAAGAAAAGGCCGGCGAAATGTTTGCAAAATTTCTTTCGCTGGCAATTTGCCTCATTCAAATGCCGGCACTACCTGTGAATGTTTTTGTTTTCTTGTTTTGGCTTATTGCCCAGTCGTCTGCCGCGTTTGTTTGACAACAAAGGTTGCGTAAGCAAAATTCTCTCGTCTGCTGTACAGCTTTCTTCCCCTCCTCACCTGGTTTTTATCTGCAAACAAAACCGGTTGAAAGGTGAGATTTAGTCAGCTGAAAAGCTCGAGTGGGTATAAATTTGTGTCATCTCGTTATATTTTTCTACCCACATAAAAACCAAATCTATAGCCATGAAATCTACTGTTTCTTCAATTTATTATTTTCATTTTTGGCACATTAGGGGAAACGGTTTTAATTAATAAATAGCTATGTAATTTCCCAGCAATCTATTTTTTTTAAATAAATAGGCAGATTATATTTTTTTTAATTCTATAGTGTTTATTTCTTTACGTGATGAAATTACTGAGCTGTTGAGATTTTACTATAGTTTTTCTGACTAGTAGGCTTCCCAAACTGGCTAATAAACAGTGGAATTATATTACCATAATGATATAACATCTCACACTTGTAAAGATCAAGTGCCAAGAAGCTAAGGAGGGTTTATAATTTCCTAGAAAACACTCATTAAGACGTTTACTTTAGGGGTGTGACATGAAAAATCGCTAGGATGACTCATTTGCACATTTTGCTGTTCGCTTTTTTGCATGCTTTTATTTTTATTTTCTCGTAACTGTGGCAGTTTGCCTTAAAGGTGGGAAAGAGTTGCAGCTGTTTTTCATTTTTAGGGGAGCGACCTTAAACGACACATTTACGATACATGGCTCATATGCTTGCCCTGGCATTATTCACATCATTCATTAAATATCAGGTGGCATATATTGATTGGTGTTCGGAAATTCATGTTTGAAAGTCATTAAAAATTGAACAGGTAGATCCGATGGCATTTGTGCCAGTTCCCAAAGTGACCACGCCCCTCCTCAAAACTTTTTCCACAATTTTACTATGATTGATACTAATTGAAAGGCTACTGTTGCTGAGCTCGCAAATGGATACACAAAATTGTATCACGTTTTTGCACGGCTGACATGATTTTTGATACACGCAGAAAAAGGGAAACTAAATTATAGAACGAATATATTTCATGACATAGATATATTGAGCCATTTAAAAGACTATCATAGTATATTATTTTACACTAGTATACCATTATTATTCTTAAAAATAAGAATCCATTTAGAATCCAGCTTTTATAATTATTTTTAATAATATTATTCGTTTATTCTTCTTTATTCTTAGTTAATTGTAAATATATCATTTTAAAACTCATATACCTTTCATAGTTAAGTGTTCCATCATTTTATCTCTGTATACATCCGACTTTCTCCACCTAATTCTGGTGTTGTTGCGTGAGCTCAATTAGGTTCAATTGGTTCTAATGCTGTTTTCAGAATTGCTGCTTTGTGCATCTACTGCCATTCTCTTTCGCATTTGTAAGTGATCCCATTGAAAAACTTGAAAGCAAATCAAAATTCAATTTGTATGTATTTTATTTGCTCAAATTTGGCAAATTGCCTGCTAACCAACTGGAAGCAATTGTGTGCAGATTTATTAGTGCTATAATTTAAAATGCAATGTCAAGGGCAAAAAATTCGGGGAAGAAAAATATGTATATGTGTGGTTAAAGGAAAACAAATCGCGCAATCAGCAAGTGTGGCAAAATAAAAATGACGGTTTTTTGACTGATAAGAAATTTCCTGATTAAAGTATTTCACTTAAGCTATGAACTTTTTGTTTGTATACATTTTTAAGTGATTGAGGTGATAAGGAATGGGGCATTTCTTTGACTATTGGTCAAACTAATCATATTTTTTCGCCTTAACTAACCCCATTATTTACACCCTTTCCAGTTACATTCCTCCACGTCTTTGGGGCTTCAGTGGTCATGTCCAGACAGTTTTACACAGCATTGTGGGCCGAGTCCGTTGTCCTTGGCCCCTTGGACAGCGTTTGTACTTGTCCCTTGAGGATGGCTCCACTTTAACCTACGACCTGTACCAGCCCCTCAACGAACAGGAGGGTAAGCTGCTCGGCTTCTCCACAATTCATTGCACATACTAAACATTCTTAACACTTCCATAGATGACATCACCGTGGCCATTTGTCCGGGAATCGCCAATAGCTCGGAATCGGTGTACATTCGCACCTTTGTGCACTTGGCTCAGTGCAATGGATACCGCTGCGCGGTCCTAAATCACATCGGAGCATTGCGCAGTGTCCAGGTGACCTCCACGCGCATTTTTACCTACGGCCACACAGAGGATTTCGCTGCCATGGTGGAGCATCTGCACCAGAAGTACCGCCAAACTCGCATAGTGGCGGTTGGTTTCAGTCTGGGCGGCAATTTGGTCACCAAGTACATGGGCGAGGACCAGAAGACAAAGCCCACCTGCGTCATTGGTGGCATCTCCATTTGCCAGGGATATAATGCCGTCGAGTGAGTTGCTATTATTACCTATTTCAACTGGAAACCCGAACTAAATCATGCTTTTCCATTTTAGGGGCACCAAGTGGCTGCTTAATTGGCAGAACTTCCGTCGTTTCTACCTCTACATCATGACTGAGAACGTGAAGAGCATTATCCTGAGACATCGACATATCTTGCTGTCCGATGAGGTGAAGGCTCGGCACAATCTCAACGAGCGCGAGATCATCGCTGCTGCTACACTGCCCGAACTGGATGAGGCCTATACGAGGCGGGTGTACAATTTCCCCTCCACCCAAGAACTGTACAAGTGGAGCTCGTCGCTGTTCTATTTCGATTCGATCAAGAAGCCCATGATCTTCATCAATGCCAAGGATGATCCCTTGATTCCAGAGGATTTGCTGCATCCCATCAAGGAGTATGCCAGTGAGTAGAGAAACAATTGATTGGGTATTGGATTGCTTATCCAGACTGTTTATTTCCATTTCAGCCACTAGGCAAAACACGGCCTATGTGGAGGTGGCCCATGGCGGTCATCTGGGCTTTTACGAGGGCGGTTTCCTGTACCCCAACCCGGTGACTTGGCTGGACCGCACGCTGGTGGCCATGGTTGGATCTTTGGTCATGATGCAGGACGTTGGCAAGGTGGCTTCTTAGGCCTAGCACTACTCCCGCACGCACACACAACTATTAAACGCTTTTGTGTCCAAATTGGTTGTCGCTGACGGATATATGAATCTTTGAAGGAACATCGGAACAGAGCCCGAAAGACCCCATACATATAGTTCTAACATATAATATCGATGTGCAGCAAGTAAAAATTATCAGCCGCGCAAGCAGGAAAACATAAATTGATGTATACTTTTGCAAAGTGCATTTAAAACAGAAATTGCAGTTTTTCGACAACGGTTTTTATGCTTTTTTTTAATGACTTTCGAAGAGCCAAACATACAATATGTCAGTTGAACTTGTACCTTAGTTAGTTAACGCGAACAACATGTTTCCATGTACTTATGTGTAAGCAAATTCCTATTTATTAGCATTTTACTTTGTGATCTAACAGGATTTAATTATGTGAAATGTACACCCAGACACCGCACACAATATACGATATATGACAGTAATTATAAATTATAAGTACCCGGCCGCCGCACATATTGAGTAGCAGGAAGATTGCCTTAATGTAGACCTCGTTTTGTAAGTGTGTATATGATTTTAATAACGATTCAGTTTGTACTACGATGCATTTCACGGAAATCAAAGAGAAACCAAATGAAATTTGCCCAACGACGGCTTCAATTTTGTATACATTTTCTGATCTTTACCATGTTGATAGTCAGATGGATACGCGATTTGTTTACCGATGTAGTAGAGTATGGAGAAATATTTATAAATGTATTTGTAAAAGTATTTATAAATGTATATTAAAACGAATAAACAACAGTTGATTAAAACGATTTATTGAATAGTTGGGGACTTAAACGTTTTCTTGTTGCCCGCTTATATTTAAATATATATCGATTTGTTTTTAGTAATCGGACATCGGTTTTACTTTACAAACTTTCTACATCTAACTCAATATGGGTTTTGACATCGTTTCTTGCATGAGCAGTCGTGGCCGAGCGGTTAAGGCGTCTGACTAGAAATCAGATTCCCTCTGGGAGCGTAGGTTCGAATCCTACCGACTGCGAAAAACGAAAGGTTTCTTTTTTATTTTCTTTTCTTTAAATTTTAAACTGTGTCCTAAGAATCAAATTCGTTTTCTTCAATTCTTTTCAGTTTCTGCTTATACCAAGAGATTTCACTCAACATTCAAGTTTTCAAACCACAGTGTTCTCGAATTTAAAAAAAAATATTGTTTAAATATACATTATTTAAAAATAAAATAAATTACTTTTTCACTAATATGTAAATCTTGATATTTTGCTTTATTAAACTGAAACTTTTTTAAAGATTCAATAAGCTTTTTAAAAGTTTTTTTTTAATTTCTGGTGGATTATAATATTTATGTGCCATGTTCAATTGTAATGATTATGAATATTGTCAAGTATAGACAAAATAATAAAGTATCATTCTTAGCATTGTCATTCTTAGCATTGTACAAAAACAATTTTGTATTTATAAATTAATTTTAGTTAGATTTAAGCTAATATTTGAACACTACGTCTTTTCTGCAGAGTGAGTTTTGATATGATTACTCATACAGGCATTAGACTTAAAGGTCTTGTCGCAAGTATTACATTTAAATGGTCTATCTTCCGTGTAAAGCATTCTGTGTTTCCTAAGACTTCCATTGTCCCCATAAGTTGCCTGACAATCGGGGCATTCATAGGGTCGCTCGCCCGTGTGAAGTCGTTTGTGGACCCTAAGAGTAGGCTTGTCCGCAAAGGACTTTTCGCAATGATCACATGGATAGGGCCGTTCTCCCGTGTGGGTCCTAGTGTGGCGCTTAAGATGTTCATTAAGCCGAAATGTTTTCGGACAGAGGGAGCACTTGAACGGCCGTTCCCCTGTGTGAATGCTAAGGTGTTTCCTCAGAGTGGTTCCATGCACGAAGCCCATGGAGCAATGGGGGCACTTGTGGGGTCGTTCTTCTGAGTGAGTGCTAAGGTGTTTCTTTAGAGGGGCTTCCTGCATGAAGCCCATGTGACAATAGGGACACTTGAACGGCCGTTCTGTGTGAGTGCTAAGGTGGTTCAGCCAACTCGATTGTCGCACGAAGCCCATGGAGCAATGAGGGCAATTGAACGGCATCTCTCCGTGTGTCTTTATGTGCTTCAATAAGGTGTCCCTTGCTTTATAGGAATTTGAGCATTTGCTGCACTTAAATGGTCTTTCCCCCGTGTGCATGAGGAAGTGCCTCATCATAGCAGAGCGGCTCCGAAAAGTTATTTGGCAGTAGGAACACTTGTACGAATTTTTCCAATTAAGACGGGCCTTCGCAATTTCATCGTCTTTTAATTTTTCATTGGATAAGGGACTGACTTCCCCTTGAAAATCATCTTCAATGGGCTCGTTTTTCACTTCTATTTCAATGTCATCGTCATTGACTTGTTTGTCGAGTTGATCACCTGCAATTTCCAATATAGGATTGACTTCCTCTTGGAAATCGTCTTTGATGGGTTCGTTCATCACTTTGGCTTCCTCAGGAACCTCCTCATCAAGGCCCTCCTCCAGCACATGTCTTTGGTTTTTAAACGGTTGTTCCGCTGTGTGAATCCTTTTGTGTTGGTCAAGGTCTGATGAATCCGAAAAACATGCCTCGCAAATGGAACACTGGTATGATTTTTCTCCCATGTGAATCTTTGAGTGTGCGTCTAGCATGCGTTTAGTCGGAAAAGTCTTATCGCATTGATCACACCGAGACGGTCGTTCCCCCTTGTGGCTCAACGTGTGCCATTTCAGATGGGACTTAAGCCGAAAGGAGTTCTCGCAGATGGAGCACTTAAATGGTCGGGCACCCGAGTGGCCCAAAATGTGGCGAACGAGATGGGATTTTAGTCGATAGGAATTTGGGCAGAGGCCGCACTTAAATGGTCGTCCATCCGTGTGGAAACGGATGTGCTGCCTAAGATATGATGGTGTGCAAAAGGACTTTTCGCAGTAGGGACACTTGTCCGACTTCTTTAAGCGAACACCATCGGTACTATTACTATTTTTATCTTTGGAATTTTGGTCGCCAATAGTGGGTTGGCTACATTCATTTAAATTAGAATCAAATGGATCATTCATCACTTGGGGATCTAAATAATGTGTGTTTTCCTCTCCAATTTTCCCGTCTTGAGAAGGTGAGAGTTTGCATACTTCCTCTTGCAGCCACTCCTCGTTTAAGCTCCATTCCTCTTTCGGATCCTCATCAAGAAACTCCTCCTTTACTTGACACGGAAATATCTGACTTTCCGATGGAAATTGGCTGAAAAAGGTTTGGCCAATCCTATACGAAGTCTGCGCATCCTGCAGGCACATTTTGCAAATTTTCTCAGGAAATGGGTCGCCCTTTTTTACGTCCCTTTTCGTATAGCGAGAAATAATATCCGATAGAGGTATTTCTGATTCCGGGGCTCCATCGAATATATTAATCATATCTTGGGAATTCAGCATGCAAACGCGACACCGTTTCTTCATTGTTCTGAAATTGAGTTATTAAGAAACTGCGGTATTTAAAAATGATCTTTCTTACGGTCTTATTTGTTGCACATTAGATTAAATAGATATTTCTTAGATCTGATTAATAGTTTGTTTACATCCGAGATTTAATTCTTTCTTGAACTGCTCTGAACACCCTGTGCCCAGAACATATGTTGTGTTATCGATTTTCAAAAAATTGATACATATTTTATGGTTCGATATTAATAGTAATTTAAAAGTAAATTTGAATTTTAGAAATATTACTTTATTGAGCTGATTCTTTTTTTTTATTAAAGAGATTCAATAGATAGATAGATATGTACATTATGCATAGATCAATAATACTAATATGCTGTTTAAATTTTAATAAAAAACACATTAGTATTTATAGTTGGTAAACATAAAGTATTTAAAAATTAATATTATTTAGATTTACCCTGTTTTTTACTTTTGAACTACAGTCCAGAGATCTGATGTGATAATTAAAACACCCCTTAGCCTTAAAAGTCTGGTCGCAGTGGTCACAATTAAACGGTTCTATCGTGTCAGTCATTCTGTGTTTTCTGAGACTTCTACTATCCACATAAGTTGCCTGACAATCGGGGCATTTATAAGGTCGCTCGCCCGTGTGACTTCGTTTGTGTACTGTGAGAAAGGAATTTTCCGCAAAGGACTTTTCGCACTGATCACATTGATAGGGACGTTCTCCCGTGTGGCACCTATTGTGGCGCTTAAGATTTTCCTTAAGCCGAAATGTTTTCGAACAGGTTGTGCACTTGAACGGCCGTTCCCCTGTGTGAATGCTCAGGTGTTTCTTCAGCGAGGGTTCTCTCACAAAGCCCTTGGCGCAATGGGGGCACTTGTGGGGTCGTTCTTCTGAGTGAGTGCTAAGGTGTTTCTTTAGAGGGGCTTCCTGCAAGAAGGACATGTGACAGTAGGGACACTTGAACGGCCGTTCTGTGTGAGTGCTAAGGTGGTTCATCCAACTCGATTGTCGCACGAAGCCCATGGAGCAATGAGGGCAGTTGAACGGCATCTCTCCGTGTGTCTTTATATGCTTCAATAAGGTGTCCCTTGCTTTATAGGAATTTGAGCATTTGCTGCACTTAAATGGTCTTTCCCCCGTGTGCATAAGGAAGTGCCTCATCATAGCAGCTCGGCTCCGAAAAGTTATTTGGCAGTAGGAACACTTGTACGAATTTTTCCAATTAAGACGGGCCTTCGTAATTTCATCGTCTTTTAATTTTTCATTGGATAAGGGACTGACTTCCCCTTGAAAATCATCTTCAATGGGCTCATTTTTCACTTCTATTTCAATGTCATCGTCATTGACTTGTTTGTCGAGTTGATCACCTGCAATTTCCAATATAGGATTGACTTCCTCTTGGAAATCGTCTTTGATGGGTTCGTTCATCACTTTGGGTTCCTCAGGAACCTCCTCATCAAGGCCCTCCTCCAGCACATTTCTTTGGTTTTTAAACGGTTGTTCCGCTGTGTGAATCCTTTTGTGTTGGTCAAGGTCTGCTGAATCCGAAAAACATGCCTCGCAGATGGAACACTGGTATGAATTTTCTCCCATGTGAATCTTTGAGTGTGCGTCTAGCATGCGTTTAGTCGGAAAAGACTTTTCGCATTGATCACACTGAGACGGTCGTTCCCCCTTGTGGCTCAACGTGTGCTTTTTCAGATGGGACTTAAGCCGAAAGGAGTTCTCGCAGATGGAGCACTTAAATGGTCGGGCACCCGAGTGGCCCAAAATGTGGCGAACGAGATGGGATTTCAGTCGATATGAATTTGGGCAGAGGCCGCACTTAAATGGTCGTCCATCCGTGTGGAAACGGATGTGCTGCCTGAGATATGATGGCCTGCAAAAGGTCTTTTCGCAGTAGGGACACTTGTCCGACTTCTTTAATCGAACACCATCGGTACTGTTACTATTTTTATCTGTGGAATTTTGGTCGCCAATACTGGGTTGGCCACTTTCATTTAAATTAGTATCGTATGGATCATTCTTCACTTGGGGACCCAAATAATGTGTGTTTTCCTCTCCAATGTTTTCGTTTTGAGAGGGTGATATATTGAATTTTTCTTCATGCAACCATTCCTCGTTTAAGCTCCATTCCTCTTTTGGACCCTCATCAAGAAACTCCTCCTTCACTTGACACGGAAATATCTGACTTTCCGATGGAAATTGGCTGACAAAGCTTTGGCCAATCCTATACGAAGTCTGCGCATCCTGCAGGCACATTTTGCAAATTTTCTCAGGAAATGGGTCGCCCTTTTTTACTTCCCTTTTCGTATAGCGAGAAATAATATCCGATAGAGGTATTTCTGATTCCGGGGCTCCATCGAATATATCAATCATGTCTTGGGAATTCAGCATGCAAACGCGACACCGTTTCTTCATTGTTCTGAAATTGAGTTATTAAGAAACTGCGGTATTTAAAAATGATCTTTCTTACGGTCTTATTTGTTGCACATTAGATTAAATAGATATTTCTTAGATCTGATTAATAGTTTGTTTACATCCGAGATTTCATTCATTCTTGAACTGCTCTGAGCACCCTGTGCCCAGAACATATGTTGTGTTATCGATTTTCAAGAAGTTGTTGATACATATTTTGTGGTTCGATAACAATGGTAATTTAAAAGTAAATTTGAATTTTAGAAATATTACTTTATTGAGCTGATTCTTTTTTTTTATTAAAGAGATTCAATTCATAGATAGATATGTACATTATACACTTATACGCTGTTTAAATTCTAATAAAAAACACATTGGTATTTATAGTTGGTAAACATAATAGATTTATTTAGATTTACCCTAAGTTTTTTACTTTTGAACTACAGTCCAGAGATCTGATATGATAATTAAAACACCCCTTAGCCTTAAAAGTCTGGTCGCAGTGGTCACAATTAAACGGTTCTATCGTGTCAGTCATTCTGTGTTTTCTGAGACTTCCACTATCCACATAAGTTGCCTGACAATCGGGGCATTTATAGGGTCGCTCGCCCGTGTGACTTCGTTTGTGTACCGTTAGAAAAGAATTGTCCGCAAAGGTCTTTTCGCATTGATCACATTGATAGGGTCGTTCTCCCGTATGGCACCTATTGTGGCGCTTAAGATGTTCCTTAAGCCGAAATGTTTTCGAACAGACGGCACACTTGAACGGCCGTTCCCCTGTGTGAATGCTCAGGTGTTTCTTCAGACTGGGTTCTCGCACAAACCCCTTAGAGCAATGGGGGCACTTGAACGGCTCCTCTCCCCTGTGGGTCATCATGTGCGCCAATAAGGACTCCTTCACTTTATAGGAGTTCGGGCATTGGATGCACTTATAAGGTCGTTCCCCCGTGTGCTTGAGGAAGTGCTTCATCATAGATGATCGATTGCGAAAGCTTATTTGGCAGTAGGAACACTTGTACGAATTTTTCCAATTAAGACGGGCCTGTGCAATTTCATCGTCTTCTACTTGTTTATCAGGTTGATCACTATTGATTTCTAAAAAGGGTTTGACCTCATCTTCGAAATCATCTTCAATGGGCTCGTACTTCACTTCTTGTTCAGTGTCATCGTCTTTTACTCGTTCGTCGGGTTGATCACTTGGGATTTCTAGTAAGGGATTGACTTCCTCTTGGAAATCATCTTCGATGGGTTCGTTCTTCACTTGGGGTTCCAAACAATGTGTGTCCTCTTCTTTAACTTGGTAGTTAACATCTTGAAAGAAGCACAGGCGTTCGTCCTCATGCAAAAATTCCTTGTCTGGATTCCCTTTCTCTTCTAGTTCCTCATGAAGGACCTCCTCCTTCACCTGGCACATAAATATCTGGCTTTCCGCCTCCTCTATAAGATTCTCCTCAATAACTTCCTCTTCCTCCTTAACTATAGTTGGCAAGTGGTGGGATTGCTCTGAAGTTTGTCCAGTCTTATACGAATTTTGCGCATCCTGCAGGCATATTTTACAAACTGTCTCAGGAAATAAGTCTCCTCGCTTGACTTCCAATCCAGTATGGTAAGCAATAATATCCACTATAGGAATTCCAGATTCCGGGGCTCCATCGAAAATATTAATCATGTCTTGGGAACTCAGCATGCAAACGCGACACAGCTCCTTCATCATACTGGAATATATTTGTTAGTAACCTGGGGTATTTTAAAACAATCATTCTTACGGTTTGGTTTGTTTTATTTTAGATTTGATAGGTATTTGGATAGTTTGTTTACACCTCGAGATTTCATTGATACTTTAAGTACTCTCATCACCCTGTGCTCAGAACTCTGTACTGTTAAGCGCAAGAACATGTGTTGTGTTATCGATTCTTTAAATGTTATTTATCAAAAACGTTATTTTTAAAAATTCGGAATTATTTTAAGGTATTTCTAGGTCAGAAATGGAAGCTAAGATTTACCCGTACCATTCGATTCCCCCTTGTGAAACATTTCTTTGTGCTTACGCAGACCGATTCGTTGCGCAAAATTCTTCTGACAGTGGACACACTTAAAGGGCTTTTCTCCTGTGTGAGTCCTCATATGTTTCTTTAAATCACTTCTTGCCCTGAAAGCCCTAACGCATTGATCACACTTAAACGGTCGTTCGTCCGTGTGAATCAGTTCGTGCTGCTTAAGACTTGATGGATCCGAAAAGGTCGATTGACAGAGGGAACACTTGAAGGGTCGTTCCCCCGTGTGAATCCTTGTATGTCTGTTGAGAGAAGTCACAGTCCCGAAAGACTTCTCGCATTGATCACATGGAAACGGCCGTTCTCCCGTGTGGCTCATATTGTGGCGCTTAAGTCCGGAGTTATGCTGAAAGGCCTTCGGGCAGAGGGAGCACTTGAACAAACGTTCCCGAGTGTGCCCGCTGGAGTGCCTTTTCAGGGAGTGCTCATCCTTATATGACCTTTCGCACTGATCGCATTGAAACGGCCGCCCCTCCAAATGCAACACAAAGTGTTGCTTGAGACCACCCCGATCGTAAAAGGCCTTCGGACACTGGGAACACTTGAACGGAAGATTCCCAGTGTGCTGGCCAAAGTGCCTTCTCAGACTGCAGTCTTTTTTAAATGCCATCGGGCAGCGGGAGCACTTGAACGGCCTCTCGCCCGTGTGGATCATGATGTGCATCTTCAGGGTGTAGGTATCCCCAAATGCCTTTGGGCAATGACTGCACTGGTACGGCCGTTTCCCCACGTGGGTGCGCTGGACGTGCCGCTTCAGAAGCGAGGCGATCTGAAAAGCCTTCTTGCATTGGGAGCACACGTGCGTCTTTTTCTTCTCCTTCCATCTCCGTCTCCTCTTTTCCTTTAGGGTTTCCTTAACGGAGTCAGATTCGCTATTTGGTATTATATGATTACTATCTTCCTCTGTTGAATCATCCTCCAGGATCGCATCCTTTGCTTCACAAAAGATCCTGTGGCTGCGCTCGTAGGTTTGTATAATATCGTATGCATTTTGCGCATCTTCCAGGCAGGGCGGGCAAATGGAGTTCGGAAATGAGTCTCCTTTTTCGAGTCTGAAACCGGTAACTTCAGATATCATGTGCTCTATGGATATTCCAAGATATCCCGATCCTTCGAAAATGTTTACCATGTTTTCGGAGTTTGCATGGCAAACTCGACAAAGGTCCACCATTATTCTGAAATATAGCTAAACTCAGAAACTGCAGGGGCCAAGCAAATGGACTTACCTATGGAGTTTTAAGTTAATTAATAGTAAAATGTTATTTTTGGATAAATCCGCTGTTTACTTCGCGTAATTTTATTGAGAATGCAGCTGCTATAATCACCCTGTTTCCCTTTACAGTGTGCTGTTAGACGCACAAACATATGGTGCGTCGTTAGTGATCGATTTTAAAATACTTTTTAAAAGACAATTGAAATTTTAGGTTTTAATATAATCTTAGTAATATCGAAAACAGGTTTTAAGTCAACACAGAAACCAGTTGGAAATGCAATTATAATAATATGCCTTTTTGAAAATAAATATGTTTAAGGTTGCTTTTTCAAATGCACCTTCCTATGGCGAATGAGGTTTGCTGAATTCCTAAAATGCGTCTGGCAATGAGGACATTTGTAGGGTTTTTCTCCCGTATGGGTTCTTGTATGTCGCCTTAGATGTTCGATATCAACAAATGACATTTCACAAGACTCGCACTGAAAGGGTCGTTCTTTCGAGTGGACTTTTTTGTGTTGGTTGAGGTTTGATACATTCGAAAAAGCTTTCTTGCAGATTGTGCACTTGAAGGGGTTTTCCCCCGTGTGAATTCTTTTGTGTTCTGTGAGCCTACTTTGACTTGAAAATGCTGACAGGCAGGTGGTGCACTTAAAGGGTTTTTCCCCCGTATGAGTCCTTAAATGCAACGTAAGATTACCATTCTGCCGAAAGGACTTCGTGCAGTGTGAACACTTGAACGGTCGTTCCCCCGTGTGAATGCGGATGTGTCTCTTGAGCAATGATGGATGCGCGAATATTCTTTGACAATAGGAACACTTATTGCCCTTCTCTGATCGAGCGCTATCGTTCTTTCCAGTGTCATTGTGATTTATCTGATCATCAGATTGATCACTTTCATCTCCCGATGTATCATTGACTTTCTTATCACGTTTTTTGGATCCTTTTTTTACAGGGCCCTTGATCTTGGAGGGAACACCATCGTTAGTATTATTATTGGAGTGGGCATCTTCAATTCTATTACTTTTTCTTTGTTGATTGGATTGATCACTTCCTTTTTCTAAGGGCGCTTCCTTGATTCGGTCATTATCCTTGGGTGCCTCCTCGGCAATAAACAATCTATCACTATCCCTGTCTGATTCCAGGCTTTCTTCCTCAGGTACATCGTCCTCCAGGATCGCATCCTTAGCTTCACAAAAGATCCTGTAGCTGCGCTCGTAGGTTTTTATAATATCGAATGCATTTTGGGCATCTTCCAGGCAGGGCGGACAAATGAAATCTGGAAATGAGTCTCCTTTTTCTAGCCCATAACCAGTGACTTCAGATATCATGCGTCCTATGGAAATCCCAATACTTCCTGATCCTTCGAAAATGTTTACCATGTTTTCGGAGAGTCCAAGGCAAACTCGACATAGTTCCTCCATAATTCTGAAATATATCAAGCTGGATTCAGAAACAGCTATGGCAAAACAAATAGACTTACCTATGGCATTATTTTGAGAACATTGGAGCGGGTAAATAGTATTTATAGAAAATATCTTTTACATTCTCATCATTTTGTTAAGAACGCAGCTGCTATAATCACCCGGTTTCCCTTTACAGTGTGCTGTTAGGCGCACGAACATATGTTGTGCCGTCGGTTATCGATTTTTAAAATTCTTTTTAAAAGACGCGTATTTTTTAAATAAGAATGTGTTTTGATTAATTACACCTTAGATTTAATGAGAATTAGTTTTAAAGCTAAACATGCAGGTTTTTAGACAAAAACAAAAGCGGTTTTGAAATGAATTCAAAAGTTAAAACTACTACTTATAAATGGTAATATTATATCGTTGTCATATGGGAGTTTATATGCCTTTGGGAATGTGTTTTCCCTTATGTACTAGGGTGTGTTTGCTAAATTCACAGAAAATGCCAGGAGTTGTGGACACCTGAAGGGTATTCCTCCGCATGGGTTCCAATGTGTCCCTCAAGACGTCCCTTATTAAAAAAAAGAACTTTCGCAATCATCCTATTTAGCAGATCTATTTTTCGCGTGGACCTTTCTGTGATGGTATAGGTTTGATATATCCGAAAAAGCTTTCTCACAGATGACGCACTTGAAGGGCTTTTCCCCCGTGTGGATCCTTAAGTGATTATGAAGACTACCGGTATCCGCGAAGCCCTTTTTGCAATAAGTACATTTATACGGTTTTTCTCCAGTGTGGCGCCTGAGGTGGACGTTGAGGACTGATTGAAACGGAAAGGATTTCGGGCACAGGGGACATTTGACCTTTTTAATCTTATAGTAGTCAATGAGGCGCTTTCTTATGCACCCCTGGTCAGTCTGTTTGTAATTCTGAGCATGTCTCTCAAGACGATCCTTAAACGGAAAAGACTTATTGCAATGGTCACATTTAAACGGTAGACTTCTGTGACTCCATGCATGTTTCTTGAGGTGAGCGTTATCCAGGAATGACTTATCGCATTGATCACACTTAAACCTTTTATCCTGTTTGTGAATTCGCATGTGTTGGTTTAGATTCGATCCATCCGCAAAAGATGAATTGCAGATTGTACACTTAAAGGGTCGTTCCCCCGTGTGGATCCTAATATGTTTAACGAGGTTTCCGCGGACCAAAAAGGCTTTTTCACAATGATCACACTTGAACGGTCGTTCTCCCGTGTGGGTCTTAAAGTGACGATCAAGATAAGACTTCTTGGGAAAAGTCATAGGGCAGGTTGAACACTTGAATATTTTCTTCTCTGAGGGAATACTGGCACGCTTAACTATGTCATGCCGCGCAACATTTGGGTGTGTGTGAACCCGTGTATGCTTGTCAAGAGTAGCCTTATACATAAAAGACTCTTCACAATATTTACATTTAAAGTATCGTTCCCCAGTGTGAATCCGCTTGTGTTGTCTCAGGTTTGTTGGATCCGTAAAGGCTGTCAGGCAGACGGTGCACTTATAGGGCCTTTCTCCCGTGTGGGTCATTAAATGCTTGTTAAGATTACCCTTGCAGCCAAAGCACTTCTTGCACAATGAACACTGATGGGGTTTATTCCCCGAGTGAGTCTTGATGTGATGGCTTAAACCACAGCGATCCCGGAAGTCTTTTGGGCACTGACTACACTTATAGGGTCGTTCGCCCGTATGTTTCAAGATGTGACGTGTGAGTTGGAGTTTGATTCGAAAGGACTGTTGGCATATGTGACATTTAAATGGCCGTTCACCCGTATGGATGCGTTTGTGCTCCATGAGAGCAGCGTGACACCGGAAGGTCTTTTGGCAGTAGGGACACTTATTATTCTTCTGCTTTGAGCGAACCCCTTTGACCACATAATCGCTATCATCGGAATCTTCATTCTTAAAGTATTCTTGATCACTTTCATCTCCTGAGGTATCATAGGCTTTCTTGACATGTTCGATGGATTCATTCTTTACCAGGCCCTGGAACTTTGATTCAGTACTATCGAAAACATTATTATTGGCATCATCGTCTTCAATGGCATCATCGTCTTCAATGGCATCGGCTTGTGATTGTTGTTCGGATTGATCACATTCACTTTCTGATATCTCATAGACTTCAGTTCCATTTAATGTCTCTTCCTTGGCATGGCCATTGACCTTGACATAGAACGATCTCTCACTCTCGCTATCTGATATCAGGCATACTTCTTCCTCCGATAGTTCGTCCTCCAGGATCGCCTCCTTTGCCTCGCAGAAGATCTTGTAGCTGCGCTCGTAGGTTTTTATAATATCGAATGCATTTTGGGCGTCTTGCAGGCAGGGCGGGCAAATGAATTCCGGAAGTGCGTCCCCTTTCTCGAGTGTAGAACCGGTAACTTCGGATATCATATGCGCAATGAGGACGCCGCGATCTTGCCTCCCTTCAAAAATGTTGGCCAGTTTTGCCGACTTTCGCTGGCAAACTCGGCACATTTCCTTCATTGTGCTGCAATCAAGGAGTGGATTAGAAAGTTAACCGACTTAACAGATACACGTACTTACGTTTGTATGTTTAAAATATTTACCATATATATTTATAATTACTATTTCCTAAAACAGATAGTTTGTTTATCACATTTCCTGTAGACTGATACTGTGGGCACCCTGTGGCCGTAACACTGTGCTGTTAAGCGCGAAAACATATGTTGCGACATCGGTTATCGACTGCTAACATTATTTTTGAAAATTATAGAAACTGCTCTTATTAAATCAGGATTACTTTGGTGGATAATGAAGTGGATGGACCAAAAGGAACAGGCCGAATATAACTAGTTAGAACCAAGAAGAAACGCAGGCGGTAAAGTCGGATCCCCACAGGAACAAGAACATACGAAAAGAACATAAACAGCACAATAATTTCCTTCGTCTATTATTATTTATATTTAAAATGATTAAAATTAAGTTTTTTATTATTATTTATAATTAGTATGATTAAAATTATGTTTTCAATGCTGTCCTATCATGGATCAGCAAGTGTGCATGCAAACAGTCTTTTTCGGTAAAAGCTTTCGGCCATTGGGATTACTTTAAGGGTCTTTCTCCAGTGTGCAGTCTTATGTGACGTCTTAAATGAGCATTATCCCTGAAAGCCTTATTGCAATGGGCACATGGATACGGTCGTTCTCCCGTGTGGCGCATGAAGTGGCGTTTAAGATGAGTTTTAGTTAGAAAGCGTTTCCGGCAGCGGGAGCACTTGAATGGGCGACCTCCTGTGTAAATCTTGGTGTGTTTCTTCAGGCCGGATTCTCGCTCGAAGGCCAGCGGGCAATGGGTGCACTTGAACGGCGTGTTCCCCGCGTGAATCCTGATGTGCACCGATAAGTAGGATTTTTCCTTGAAGGCACTCGGGCAATCACTACATTTAAATGGTCGTTCATCTGTGTGGACGAGGTTGTGGCGCTTGAGTTGTGAAGGATACGAAAAGGACCTTTGGCAGTGGGAGCACATGTGCGATTTCTTCGGGCGAACGGCGTCGTTGCTATTATTTTCCTTGAATTCTTGCTCTCCAATAGCATGTTCTACGATGGGCTCAGTCTCTACTCTATCATTGGAATCTTTCTCTCCATTGGCATCATATTCTATGGGCTCCTTCTTCACTTTGTCCTGAAAGGTTGCCCTTGAAGAACCTGATCTCTTGTCAGCGCAGTCTTCATTCTTTGCTTTACAAAAGATATTGGAGCTGCACTCGTAGGTTTTAATAATCTTAAATGCACTTTGCGCATCCTCCAGGCAAGTTGGGCAAATGCAGTACGGAAGGGAGTCTCCTTTTTCAATTTTAAAACCAGTGACTTCAGATATCATATACGCCACAGAAATAGAAATTCCCAGATTGTGTGCTCCTGCTCCTTCGAAAATGTTTACCATGTTCTCGGAACTTCCCAGGCAAACGCGACAAAGCTTCATTGTCCTGAAATTTATAAACCAGCTCTTAAGATTCTTCTAAGGACAAGCAAAAACACTTACAGACTCTATTATATTTAGTAAAACTGCAACACAGATATTATTTTTAAGACAACACAGTTTGTTTATATTTTGACATTTATGACAATCGATTACCGATAACGCGACATATGTTTATGCGCTTAACAGCACAGTGTTACGGGGACAGGGTGCCCTCTAAAAATGTTAGGGGTAAACAAACTAGTTTAGGCATCTAAGTAGGAAGTAATTATTTTTAAGCTATTAAACCTACAACCGTAAGTATGTGAATCTGTTAAATCGGTCGTTTCTGAAGAGATCCTTGATTACAGCGCAATGAAAGAAAGATGCCGCGTTTGCCAGCGGAAGTCGGCAGACCTGGCCAATATTTTCGAAGGGAAGCAAGATCGGGGGATCTCCATTGCCCATATCATATCTGAAGTTACCGGGTCTGAGATCGAGAAAGTCGATAAGCTTCCGGAATTCATTTGCTCGCCCTGCCTGCAAGACGCCCAAAATGCATACGATATTATAAAAACCTACGAGCGCAGCTACAAGATCTTTTGCGAAGCAAAGGAGGCGATCCTGGAGGACGATCTCTCGGAGGAAGAAGTATGCCTTATATCAGATAGCGAGAGCGTCGAGGAAATCCCCAATATCAATGACCAAGTCATGGAAGTGAAACCAAGCACAGATAAGGAAGCCATTGAAGTTTCCTTATTCCAGGATGGAGTCAATGTGATATTAAAAGAAGACATAGGAACAAATGATACTAAGGAGCCGCATTCCAAGGATGCACAAGTGAAGGAACAGCCCACACAAAGATGTGCAATGTCAGAGGAAAAAACTGATCAATCCGATACAAAAATAAAAAAAGATGATGTTACTAAGAAAAGTTTCTTTTACGGGAGAAAAAAACAGTGTCCCTTCTGCAAAAAGATCCTATCGACTAGTACAAATCTCAAGACGCATATCCGCGGCCACACAGGAGAACGACCTTTCAAGTGCAGTAGTTGCCCAAAGGAATTTAAAGATGCCAACTCCCTTAAAAAGCATGAAATGATTCACACAGGCTGTCGGCCCTTCAAGTGTTCCCTCTGTCCGAAGGCCTATCGCGTTAAGCATCACCTTATACGCCACCTTATGACCCATACGGGCGAACGACCGCATCGGTGTAAACTCTGCAAGAAGGATTTCGTGGATCTGTATTGTCTGAACAGACATATGAAAATACACACGGGGGAACGACCCCACAAGTGTTCCGTCTGCCTAACAGCTTTTGCGGATTTATCAAACCTTAGGCAACACAGTCGGATTCATACGGGGGAACGACCGTATAAGTGTGATCGTTGCGATAAATCATTTATATATCACTCGGATTGTAAGAAACATTCCCTCAAATGTCACACGGACTGAAGGCCTTTTAAGTTTTCTGAATGCCAGAGGATTTGCAATCAACTGAACCGTCTTCGCACCCACATAGAATGTGTTCATAAAAATGAATCGAAAGATGCGATTTAATCTTAGTATTAATTTAATTTAGGGTTTATAAATTAATGGGAAATCCATTAAGGGTTTATCCTTGTTTACGATATCATTCCGCTATCCATACTACTATAGAAGGATTGGCTTGTCAATTTACGCATTCCAAACGTTTTTTGTTAGTTAAGCACTCTTGAAGTATTTTCTCCCAAAGTACCTTATCCATAAAATATAAAATACAACAAAGAAGTACATTTTATTTATGCACTTAAAAGAAAATGATTATTATTTTTATAATATTTTATTATTTTTAGGTAAGCACTCTTGAAATATTTTCTCCCAAAGTACCTTATCCATAAAATATAAAATACAACAAAGAAGTACATTTTATTTATGCACTTAAAAGAAAATGATTATTATTTCTATAATATTTTAAAAACGATAACTAAGTATCGACAATACATGATCTTGCGCTTAACAGCACTGTGTAACAGGTACAAGGTGTTTATGGTACTTAAAGTATGAATGAAAAATTCAGGTGTAAACAAACTATCTGAGGAATTCCATACAATATTAAACAAAATAAAACCGTAAGATTATTTTAAGAATGAAAAATCACACATGCTGTTAATGGCTAGCTTCCAGAACAATGACGGAGTTGTGTCGTACCTGCATGCTGAGTTCCCAAGATATGATAAATATATTCGATGGAGCCCCGGAATCTGGAATTCCTATAGTGAATATTGTTGCACACTACACTGGATTGGAAGTCAAGCGTGGAGATTCATTTCCGGAGACGATTTGTTCAATGTGCCTGCAGGATGCTCGAGATTCATACGGGATTATAGGATCCTTTGAGGATGGTCACCAGTTCCTCGCTCAAGTGAAGCAGGAAAACGGGGGTTTTAAGGAGGTATCTCTGGAGGAAGAGGTCAAACAGATACTACAGTGCCAAGTGAAGCAGGAATTCATTGAGGAGGACTTGCTGGAAGAGGTGGTGTGCGATATATCAGATAGTCGGAGTGAGCAGTCGTATTCCACTCAAGAGATCGGCTACCAAGTAAAGAGGGAGAAACCAACTGGAGACAGAGCAACCCAGCAGTTTTATGGCCATGGCCACGATAATACCAACGACAATGATGAGAACTTCAGTACTGAAGAGCACCCCTTCAAGTGTCCTCTGTGCCAGCAGAGCTTTCCTCGTGAATGGAGTCTTCAGGTGCACGAACGATCTCACGTGGGCCGATGGCCCTTCAAATGCACTCAGTGTTCCAAAGCCTGTAGAACTCCCGGAGGTCTAAGGCAGCACTTTATGATTCATACAGGCGAACGTCCTTATAAATGCAATTATTGCGAAAAGACTTTCAGGGAACGCCAGGGACTTAAGATTCACACCCGGGTTCACACTGGAGAACGACCCTACAAATGCAAATACTGCGAAAAGACCTACAAGGAGCGGAAATCCCTCAGGGTTCACACTCGGAGCCACACGGGCGAACGGCCCTACAAGTGTTCCAGCTGCCAATCCTCTTTTGCGGATCCCTCAAGTCTACGGTCACACGTCCGTATCCACAAAAGGAATAGCACATAACATGCCATAATGTTTTCGAATATAATTATAGTGTATAGGCTAAAAGTACAAAAAAAGAGAGATGAGCAGGTATCTCTGTAACTTGACTTGGAATTTGAACCATCCAATTATTATTTGATCACATTTGCTTCAGTTTTAGAAATAACAAATTATCATAAAATGAAGTATCGGTGTCACATTCACATTGTTATTATTTAAAAACATATTTTAATAAGTATACAAAAATAAAACTTTGCTTTAAGGCCCAGAGAAAAAGACCGAAAAGACAATTGTATTTGTGTTTTTCATAGATCTTAAAATAAAATATTTTAAAAAAAATCATGATTTTTTGTCATTAACAAAAAATAGTTTAAAAAAAAATAATGAATAAAAAATAAAATAAAAAGTTCGAAACTCGTCCGCAGTCGGTAGGATTCGAACCTACGCTCCCAGAGGGAATCTGATTTCTAGTCAGACGCCTTAACCGCTCGGCCACGACTGCTGTTGTTTGTGATGGGCAATGTGGTAACTAATGCCGATTGCTAAGCCAGAGATAGAGGGGACTAGTTTCGACACTTTACAACACTGTTTTTGTACAGAATTCAAACCAATTTTAAATTTGGGCGCCAAAAACGTAAAGTTTTAACCAGTTACTTCTAACTGCTTTACGAATTTGTATTATTTGTGGTATATTTATGTACATCCAATTGATTAACGTCTGCTTTATGCTATACATTAATAGTTTAAAGAAAATACACATTTAATGTATCACTTATTTTTTATAAACATTTATTGAGCGCATTAAAATTTACAAAACTGTTTAGGACAATTCTCACGGCAGCAGCAATTTATGCCGCATTTTGTATTCATGCCCAGACATCTTTTCTGATCCCAAGGGAAGGAAATGAGACCTGTGGAAGTGGAGAAAATAGGGTTATAATTAGGATAATGTATTTTTCAAAACGAAATACTCACGGGCAAATCCGCCTTTGAGCCTTATAGCATTTTTCTTGCTCAGATCGCAATCGGAAAGACATACGAAGGTGAAGGCCATTCCGCCGCCACAATGTGTGTCCAGAAGACAACGAGTTCTGGCGGTAGGACTGCAAGGACCACTGCTTTGAGGATTTGGAGGCTTGTAGACGCAGTGGGGTCCACAGCAGGTATTATCCCGAGGTGGCAGTCTGGGCTCCTTGCCGCCAGTGTTGAAACAATTGTTCAAGCCCGTGAAAGGGTGACAGGACCTCGTTTGACAGCCCAGAATTGCGGTTATCGAACAAACCAGCAATTGGAAGATCAGCAGAACTCGTGTGGCCTTCTTTTTATAGTGCTTACAGGGCACTGAAATGATATCGCCCAAAACAGCCTGCTTTTATACCCCTGTCCTAAGTGATCTCTTCTCATATTGACACAATTGCAAAACAGCTCATATTAAAAATAAACCCACTTTTACCCTCAGGAAGACTATAAAAGGCTTGGTATTCGTGCCAGTTTATCTGTGAAGTTTTCGAAATGGTTGTTAAGATTCTGCTCAGCCTGCTGCTCCTTTTCATTGCCTCCGAATTGGTTTTGGCCCAGTGCTCCCAAAACCTTTGTCCGGCGGTCAAGAACTCTAATAAACGGTGTCGGGGAAATCTGCAGTATCAGTGCGTCTGCGATTTCACTTGCTCTGAGTGGGATAAACCCTGTAATTGGGTCCTCAGCTGTGAGGCTGAGGTCAACGATATCAATGTGGTTCGCAACAAAAAGAACAAGTTAAGTAAGTAAAATACACTATACTATGTCCTTGGTAAACTACTCCATATAAAATGTTATTTCCATGCAGTTCTTTTGAGATTGCCCCATCTCAATCACACGGAGTGTCTGGACATCAATATTAACACCCACAAGCATCCAAATTGTTGCAACCTGTTCTGCAACGCTAATGTTAAGGATGTGTGTTTCTAAATAAAGGTGATGGTTAAAAAATTATGTTCATGATTTTATTTGATGTAATGGGCCTGCTTTTGTATTTTCATTCCTTTAATGAATTTCTTGGGATTTTTGGAACAAATACAAGAAGTTATAGTTTCGAATGATATTTTAAACCTAATTGATTTTGACATTTCAAATTAACTTTTGTTAAGAAATAGTATGTTACTTCTATGACTCAAAAAAATAATGAAATGAAATGAAATCTATTCTCAACCAATTCCTAATCACGTAGTGTAAAAAATTTTCTAAAAATTTATGAAATATTGAAATGTTGATCCTTGAATTTGAACTGTATATATTAATAATATATATTAATAAGAATCTATTTTTATTTCACGTTTCTAATGGAAATAAAACCATTATATTTGTATAACAATGACCTTTAATATTTTTAATTGCTTTATTTGTTTTATAATATGCAACAGGTGATGTTTATTTTATAAAGTCCAAAATTACTAAATATTTCAGCACAGGTGTTATTTTAAAGGCTGACTGAAATTGGTAAACGTTGGTGAACCTTCAGAACTGTGTTGAACTTTTAGCAGTTGTTTATATTTTTGTCGATTTATTATAAAAATAAATTAAATTCTTATTAAGTTCAATATATATAAACATATATGTAGATAAAAAGTACTTTTTATTATTATTATTATTATTAAAGTCCATATAAACAAAAGAAAAATCCACCCAGGCTTGTATGCCAAATAGTATAATATTTATTCAATTACTTTACACATATTCCATGTACACACGAATTATTTATATTAAATAGTTTTTACAGCTAATTTGTTTATTGTTAGCTACTTATTGTTAAATATCTTACAACTCTAGTGTGTTTTTCCTAACATGTATTTACAGTTTCTGTTTTGAGTTAACATTTAATGCATTCTTAGTCGTTATTATTTAGTTTAACCTACAAATATCCTATATTACACGACTAGTTTAAATCGTACATTAGCTTCTCAGCATTATTAGGTTCCTCGCAGTCGAACGAAGCCATCATTAGTTCTGCAAAAATATAGAAAACAAACAACTTGGGTTAGTTATCAAAATATTCGGTGAAAGTAGGAAAAGCAATTGCTGTTTGTCCACAGAAAGGGGCCGACTAAAAATCAGGAAAATAACAAAGCAGTTATTTAAGTAGTTCTGTCCACTTGATTGAAAACGACACTCAAGCGTAGACGGGTCTCAAGGACAAGCCCCAAACATTCAGACAAACACAATCCAAATTGTCCGAAAAAATCCCAGTGATGCGTGCAAAAATGTTTGATTTCGCTCTTTCCAAGGAAAGTATGTTGAAAATGTTATTGGATCCGAAGAACTAAGAAATCATATTTTAAAAAAAAATATACTACCAAATACTAATTTTAAGTACATAAGTTTATATTGACTTTATGTACCATCTTATTAAATATTCATGGCACTAGAACCCTTTGAAAATGTTGACTTGCAGGGCATTTCGATTCCGACTATAAGGTATCTCAACTCTTATTTTTAGTTGACCAGGGATTTCATCTGGCACGTGTTCTATGTAAGGCCTTGAGGGCTCCTCGTTTCTTTATTCGTTTATTTATTTTTAGCAGGGACACGAAGTGGCGAACCAAACATTCAGCATTCAGTTAAAATTTATGAAGCCAGAAAGAAGGAATATTTCAAAATGATGTTCAATTTTTACTTTAATTTATGCTAGTTGGCTAATTTAATTTGCATATTTAGTTTTCACTAATAAAGTCGTATTACAATTTTTAAGTGGTTAATAAAACAAATATATTAATTTTATTATTATGTTAGTTTCATAGATTTAAGATTAAATTTTATAAAAAGTTTAATTGGAACCTAAAAAAAATATTTAGAACATCCTGCGCTTTAATGTGCCTTTCTTCTTAAAAATTTCATATGAATTTTAAGGACTAGCTTTTTCTTTATGTATTCATTAAACATTTTTAATAAAGTTCTATGCCTCGAATTCGTGATCGTTTTTTGTAAGTTATTTGGACTAACACAAGAGGTCTGGGTCTAAAAGAGTTTAACTAGAACAGCTTGAACCGGAACTCATTTCGGGATGGGTTAACTTCTGGTCAAGTACTGACAAGTGTGGAATCTCTTTTTTTGGGTCGGTCCACTTGCATTTTAATGGAAGGAAATTTAATAAAGTTGTAAGAAAAAAGAGCGAATACTTCTAAAGTGGAGTGGAGCGAACAGTAGGCGAACGTAGTCGTGGTGGTGTCCAATTCACTCCACGAGCCCCATTAAAATTTTACAATGTTTGGTAGCAGCCTCGTTTGGTCAGCGCTTTTGGCCAACAGATGTGCGCTTGACTTGCCGCAAAATGTGGCATGATGCCCTGTCCTCTAGCCTCTAACCTCTATCCTCTGTCTTGGTCCTACGAAAATCCAAATTCCCACTGCCTCAGTTTGTGTGTTTATCGGATTTGTGTTCACATACTCCGTATGCTTGAGCACAAAAAATTACAAAACATCCGCACCGAAAGGAGAATGGGAATTTTCCAAGTTGAGCCAACATCATGAAGAAATGTTGCCGTTGGTTATGGAACATGGCGAAAACCAGGGACCCTCTTTTCCCCTTTTTTTTTCTTTTTTTTTGCCAGGACGTAGGACCCAGGACCGAGTCCTTTCTTTCCACGCTCTTGTTTAGTTTTAATGGAGTCGTGTGTGGCGTGTAAATATTTCCCCTTTTTCTAGACCAACTGAAGATTTGTGAGGCGGCTCGTCTCGGTTTGGTTGAGTTCCGGTTGGGTGGGAAGCTGGTCACTTTACAGGGCGTGAACATGGTGTATCCTTGCCACCCACACAATGCCTAACGAGCGGTTGGCAGGCACAAGGCAGTTGGAAATTCTAAAAAATATGGATGAGCAGCTTATCTTGGAGTGCAACCTCAAGCTGATTGCAATAGTTTATTCGGATTCAGAATTCACTTTCAACACAAAAAGTTACCACTATTTTCTTGTTAGCTATAGGTAAATGAAAAGTGTAAGGTACTCGGGCTAAGCTGAATTCCATTAAAAGCTAAAACACTAAGAGAACTTCAAGAGATTATGTTTTTAAAAAGAAAAAGGCAAAGGATTCCAAATAAAAGTTTTGGGATAGAACATTTATTCTAAAGATACAAAAAAATACAATTCCAAGTATGATAAATATTAAAAAAGTAAAAAATTAGTAGAATCCATCCGGTTTTATATCGGTTTATCTAAAATAATTCAATATGAAATCATAGACAATAGAATCACAAGCATTAACATTTTTACTTTTATTTTAACGTAAAAGTAATATAAAAACAAAACAATAGACGGTATAAAAAATAATAATAGCTGTAATCAAAATAATGGCATCGTTGGAAATTATTATCAAATATATAAGAAGAAATAAATGAAGCTTCTTTGGAAATTTTGATAGCCTTTTTGTGTCACCCAAAGAAAAAACTACGAAGATTGCATTCCGTCACGCATCTGACCAAAAATAATACATTCTCCTTGAAGACAATAAAAAATGGTCATCTCGTCGTTTCCGGTGAAATATTTTCAGACTCAGTGAGGCATCAATTACTTTCCCCCGGTTCGGAGACCAAACAATAGCAATGGAAAGCCTCAACTACTGTAAAATTGTTTTGACTCCGGCCGAGATGGGGGCCTCAAGGATGACAGACCGGACAGGTGATAGATAACGAGGACAGTCTACGGTCATTTTTCCACACCCAAACTGGATGGATCCTGGGGGTCCTGGTTGTCCTGAAAGTCCTGGAAAATTCTGCCATTCGAGTGATGCAAGAAAGTAAATGAAATCTGCCCACAACTGAATGCCAATAACGTGCTGCTGTCAGTGGGCTTAGGATCTCATGGGATGTGACTTTCCTTTCCTTTCCGGTGGACCAAAGGGGGAGACCATTACTAACTGCATTTCGCCTTATCTGTATGTATTTATCCGGAATGTCTGAGCTGTCGGCCGACCTGTCAAGTTCCTGCTGACGTTGACTAAAACAATATAAATCTGCGCATTTTTCACTGCTCAATGGGAAACAGAAGGTTTTATTTTATTTATGCTATAAATGGAATAGTGGTTTATGAAAAGAAAAATCCTTTTACAATAGATTTTTATTCATTTTTAAATGTCTGAATTGTATTTATTTTTATGAAAAAAGTTTTCAAAAATTTTAACATTTCAGTCTTTGTTTTTTACAGCTGGAATAGTGGCTTAGGAAATGAAAAACCCTGACACAAAAATATTTATGTATTTAAAAAAATAGAGACTAAAATGTATTCTAATAAATAATATTGATATTAAGCAACACTATACTCACTTATTAAACAATTTTGAATTCATTGTATACTTTTAACAGGTATACCTGCTATAGCTTTAAAAATAACACATTCGTATTTCAGAAATTTAATAAAATTTACATAAAAGCAAACGATTTATTAAAAATAAGATGAGTTGAATTTGAGATACTTAGCATAATAACCGAAAGTTAACTCTTATTGAGCTGGTAAATTAATGCCTTAGCAGGGATATGGAATTTAATTCCCACCTCGCACTACTTGAAAATCCCATTTGGCCTAAGTACAAGTTAGAGCAATTTGTACCGGGCATACAATTTATAATGCAATTCATAGTTTAATTCCAAGCCGAACAATGTACAGAATGGAACCAACAATGACGATGACGAGAATTAGTGGACGACTTTGCCATTGAGCAGGGATAATTTGGCCAGCGATTCAGCTTAATGAATAGTCCAGGCCTTTGGCTTGGACCCCAATCATTGGCTCGGCCCTAATTACCATATCCAGAGCCTAATGAGCACAATTGAAATAACACATGGCCGAGAAACACCCCGACAAATAGCAATATATTATAGAAATTTAAATTCGGTAGTGTTTGCCCAGTATTTGGGAATGCTTGTGGGAAATTCCTTGGACTTGTTGGCCTGATTATGCGGTATTTGGTCAGCTTTCGAATGAA